TACATGTACAATGGGTGTACATTGCTGACATGTTTTTTTTAAATACCTCTGCAAAGGTGAAAATGGGTTTTAAAGTTTTAACACCATCCCCCAGAAAGGTGATTATTAGTAATCTATTTTTACAGGGTGGCTCTATCTCAGTATTGTTCTCTTAGAAACTGGGTTTGTTTTAAGGTTGTTTAAGGCCGCAGGAAAAATTAGATATTTTTCAAACTAAACATTCTAACAATGATATGCTTATTTTAGAATGTGCATTTTATTGGTAAATCAAAGCCATAACTGCATAGAAATTTTCATGTCCTGCTTAGCAGATTGTAAAATGATTGTTTAATGATGAAATGTTTGGGAAACTTTTTAACTGATTGAAAGTGAAGTGGTGACCAACAAGATCAATCTCGTTTGACTCTTCATTGAAAGCCACTTGTAGATGGACTATTCAGACATTGTGTACAGGGTACTGGAACATATTCTCCATGCTCTCAGGAAATTCTAGAACATTCATCTTATAGGATGAGAAGAGCACACTGAATAGCTGCTGTCAGACATTCTCCCAGTCTGTTCTCAGCCAGTCATCATGTGCAATGTGAAAGCCGTCAAGGTTATCGTTTCATGTGGTAACAAATACGTATGGTATACAATTTCCAGATGTTAATCGCCATTGTTTATACGCCAACCTTGTTCCTGAGTTCATTTTACTTCAATATTTGAAAAACAAATCAAGTACATTTTAAAATTCTAGATAGAAACATATGCTGCGGTGCAAGCGTGCGATTTATATTAGATTGTATATTTAAAGGCTTATTAAAATTGTGCGGTGTACAATAAGTATGCTATAGCAAGCCAGCTTTTAGCAATTACTTCAAGTTAAAGTGACACTAAACTCAGGAGTTGAATCCTAAAAATGCATTCAAGTACTTTAATTATTAACAAAAATGTATCTTTGTGTTTGTATTTGTGTATCACTCTGCATTTGTGTATCATCTCTAAATTCATGCTGACGCCGTCCTTCCTTTTGAAGGGTGGCTACTTTTGTTCCCCATGGTCCCTGTGTTTGTTGTAAAGTAGCCACGGCTCCAAGCTAACTCTTGTGATGGACTACAATCTCATGTTTAGCTAGCTAATTTGTATTGAAGTTATAGTCTATCACGGGAGCGAGTTTGGAGCTGTGGCTACTTTACCACACTCACAGGGGCCATGGGGAACAAAAGTAGCCACCTTCCAGGAGGAAGGACAGTGTCAGCACCAATTCAGAGATGATTTGAGGATCTACAGCTGAGTGATAAACAAATAAGGTCCAGTATTGTTAATAGTTAAAGTACTGGAATGCATTTTTAAGATTTAAGACCTGAGTTTAGTGTCACTTTAATCCGTGATTGATCTTTTTAAATTACTGTACAACATTGCAGTTGTAGATCAATATGGGCCGCTTTTGTCACAAATTAATTAAATAAAAACTTTCCTGAGAGAAGCATGGAGGCTGCCATTGACCCTCTTCTGCAAGAACCTTGCATCTTTGTTTTAGGTCTGTTTCTGAAATGAGAAAGCACAATGTATTTAGGTAATGGACAAACCCCCTGCCATGCCCCCAGTTATGCGAACCGTTTAGAATTTATATAATGGTTGAGTAAACCCAGAACTGTTTTTTGTTACCATTACTTTTTATTATGCTGGCTTTTCAAAATATTAAAACACGATAATTAAGATATCAGATAAAGGATTTAGTGCAGAATACCATGTTTTGTAGTTAAATAGAATCTTTTCATAGATCAAACCAAAAATAGGGACTAATAAGGAAGAAAGAGGGACAGAGGGAATAAGTTCCAAATTAGTTAAAATTGGGAGGTATGCTGCAATGGAAGGTTTTCCGACTTATGATTTTAACAATGCAACAATATAAAAGGTCAAAAATGCAAAAAGAATATGATTTCATATTTATTCATATGAATTAAAAAAACATTCCCTCTCATTCCTTTACTTTGTTGTTGAAGATTATTTTATGTATCATATAAAAAAAAAAGTGTGGTGAAATCATATGCAGGTATGTCTGTATGTTTAAAGATTTCATTAAAGATTTAAAGAGCTATATGGAGAGACATGAAAAGAACTTGAAAAGAATGGAGAAACTAACTTAAAAAATTAGAAAACAATGGGCTGGTAGAAAGTATAAAAAACTGGAATAAAGGGCAGGGGAAAACAAAGATAAGGGGTTCCCATGTTATAAATTTGATATGTAATTGTTGGAGTTATGATAAAAATTCATGAATACCAGATTTGGTTAAAAAAGTCATTTTGTAATTAAGGATGCAAAATAAGCAATCTTTAGTCTTGTTTTGTTTTCTTCTCTTCCAAGATTTAGCAATTGCTATTTTGGCAACAGGGAACATAATGGAAAGTTTACTTAAAGATGTATGTCAAGGCAAAATTAAAAAGAACATATGCAGTACAGGTCTGCAATAGATGCACATTTCGCAGTGTTTCATCCCTTCAAAAACCCTGCAAGTATAGAACAATACCTGTTCAACTGACAGAAATGCACTCAGCTCCTAAGTCCTGTTATGTAGTGACAACACACAGCATCTTTGTGAACGGACTGAGTGGTGTCAGTCCTTTTAGCGCTCCTACTACTGCTCCCATGCTCAGACCTCTGTGACATAAAGGCTAACTATTCTGTAGTCAAAGATAAGAAAGAACTAGGAGTGCTCTTTGAGTTAACACAGAAAGTGTGTAGAGGATACAGGACAGGCCTGAATTTATGACAAGACTAATATTTTTTGTCACTTAACAAACAGACAACAAATGAAATACCCTTTAAAAAAAATCAAATTGGGGTAACCCCCCCCCCCCCACCCCCACACACACAGTATTACTTACTTTACTCCATGGTCCTGCAAGCTTCCTTCCTGTCAGTTCTGGTAGTGATGCACAGTCCCCCAATGCCATTTCTCTTAACCAATTGTTTTGCTGCACTGACATCTCACTGGCTCTCTCCCAATTGTTTTGCTCTCACTGACATCATCATGTACCATGCAGGACCAGTGACCACCACTGGTCCTGCATCACACATGATGACATAAGAACCTGGTCATATGCCAGAGTGGGAGCAAAGACAAGAACACTTGCTGCCATGAATTGAGATTAATATTCCTCTCTATCAGATTGCACTAGACAAAACAAGCATTGTATTCTGCATTTTGCGTAGAGGGTGCAGGGCTTAGATTTAATTTTTTTAACCAGACTGGAGTTCAACTTTAAAGCAAAGATGTCCCATAAAAAACAGTTTGGTTATGGTGGGAGTAATTTCTTTAATGCAGCTTTGAAAATGTAAGCAGACCTGTGGCTGATAGCTGGCACCATGCCCTGGACACAGAAAAGAACATTTATTAAACTACAGCCTTCTGAAAACCAGGTAATTTATGATGTTTGTGAAAAGGCAGTTTTGCTCTTTCCTTATCTGATTTTACATTAAACAATGCATGCTTTAGAAGTGTATTAAAACTTAGAAAAATTAGAATAAAAACTGCATTGCATAGCAACTTTGTAATTGTGACCCAAGAAACTGTAGAGAACCACAAAGGAGTATTCCAGACAGGATCCCCAACAGCTCTGTATTCCTAAACTGCTAATTTTACCACCACAGGCAGATAATATCGAATTGAAAGTGTATCTACTGTATACCAATTTTTGTATTTTATTTTTGTTTTAGCTTCTGATAGAGTGGGAAAAAGCAATAAACCCACTGTCAAGGTTTTATTGCTATCCAGGGGGCTCCATTAGAGAGACTTCCTCTCACTTTCTGTTCTGGACAACATAATACCAGACAGGAAGTGAGGGAACATATGCAATAGGGAAACAGACAACAATAACATTTGACAGAGGTTATAGCATTACCCAATTTAACCTAAAAAGTTATTTTACTTCCGTCTGTGTTTCTGTTAGAGAGATTTCCTCTCACTTCCTGTCCTGGGGACAAACTTTTTGGCAGACAGTAAGTGAAGGAACCTCTCTAACAGAGACCTGACCGGGGTTCTAAAAGTTCGCATCCTGGTACTGTGCTGATGAGCTTCATCTCTGCTCTGAAAACACTGGTGGTGGCTCTCTCGGCACATTCAGAGAATGCCTAATATTTTTTATTAATGAATACAAGATGCTCTCTGATTAGACGAGAGACAGATCATAGCGTGGCGGTCTTTCCCTACTTACATGCATGGACCAATGTTAGTATGCAAAATAATTCATACCTGGAATTCATCTTTAAAGAATAAGTTCACTTTTCTTTTTCAAATGTTTGTATTATTTTCAATGACAGAAAACAATGCAGCTGTCTATGATATACAGATGAGCATATTATAGCAGTGTATGACACACACATCGTGGGTTTACCCTCAAGTTTGTAGCGCAAGACATTGTTTTCTCTATCATGAATATGTGAATTTGCCTTCTTGTATATGTCTCCAGTGTCTAAACATTAGGTGCACATTTTTTAGTAAACTTATCCTTTTCTGCCTCCCATTCTAGAGCTCTCATAATAGACCTTATATCTATAACCTCCTCCTCTGAAATCTTCACTGTGCAATGTTTTCTCCTGAAATTGTTGACATACTGCAATCTTCTAGGCATACTTATGTGCTGCAGGCTCCATGCACTTCAATGAAAAGCCCATCCACAACTTGCAAGTGACCTTTCCACTGAAGTGAATTGATACCACAGTGTGCATGGATGAGTAGCATGATGCCTAATTTGGAAGATTTTGGGAGAGAGGATGTGCAGTGCTGCACAAGCCAAACATTGAAGATCTCAGAAAAGCGGGTTACAGGTAAGTATGATATTACAAAAATGCTGGAGGAGGAGAAAATCGATTGAAAGGTGAAAGCGCTGAAAACTTTTTGGGACTTTCTCCTTTTATTAGAAGATATCTTCTATTTGTACTCTCTTAAAGTATTTATTGTTCCTGTGTTAGAACTATATGTTTTTTATATACTTTTTTGTTGTTTTACTTGCAGAGTGTATGAATTGCACAAGACTGGCAGCGATAGCAGAAAGAATAAGCAATCTTGAAGCAAAGGTAGGTTTCACACTTTTAACAGCAATAAAAGTATGTCAATAACACGTGACTAAACACAATTCCGAACCAACCGAGCTGTCACACGGACGTGGCGATACCACTCCCAGCTTCACCCTGTACATAGATTTCCCAGCTTGCGGGACAACAATCTCAGGCCAGCAATCTGAGAACGATCGTCACTAGAGTTTGGTAGGGTAAAGGTGGAGGGTTAGGGTAACCCTTTATACACTATACAGTAGCTACCACCACATGTGGAAACATGCACCGTTCTCAGCAAATGCTTTGACAATTCAAAAACTTAAACAAAGCCTATGATACCACTGTCCTTTCAGACAGGAATATTACATGTTTCACTATACAGTAGCATTCTTCACGAAGACAAGGATACTTTAAGTTCGTATTTAGAGCGTAGAGATAAGCTTAACAATGTTTAAGATCATCCTTTAATAAAAGAATTAGTGTATAAAAAAATGTACAGCAAAAGATGTTAAATAAAAAAAATAGACAAATATATAACAGCGGCAAAAATAAAAAGGGAATACAATTATGAATACTTTACCGTCCTGGGTTAGGTAAGATCTGACAGAGTCCAATTCAATGCAACAGAAGATGGATCTGGTGACTCTCTCAAAGTAAGGCAAATGGTTGGTTCTTAATGGTAATGTGCTTCTGCTTTTAATGGTACAAAAAGTGACTGTGGATGTTACGAGGAACCTTCTTTGGATTATACAACAAGCCTCTCAGCTGCCTTTGCAGCAGCTTTTTGTCAGTCCTCCAGGGGGTGTCACTGAGCTGACCCATAAAACAGGGCTGGAAAGGGTGAGCAGGAAGGCTAAGCCTTTACGATGTCCTTCTCTGCTCCTCCCAAGTGTAAATTTTCATTTTAATAAACATATTTCTCTATGTTCATAGTTTAGTCCTAAATTAACTATAGATTATTGTGTTTCATGAAATGAGCTTCAAATCAATTACACACTTTGTGTGTGAATTATGGCTGGCCCAGGTAGGTTAATGTAGCTTGTCAAACCTCCTACCATCGGAACCCACCCATGATTGATATGTGTAGATTTCTCTTGATGAGGCACAGCTATTTATGCAATTAATTTTACGATATCATTCTGCAACTCCAAGTTATGAACATTGGGTTAATATTGTAACTCTCAATGTATTACTTGGTGGATTACCATACATTCCTTCCTTAGCCACCAGGCGATTTATAGGGAATGAGCTGAACAATTACTGTGGTATTAGATATTTATGACACCTATTGTAAACAGACCAATAAGGCTAATCCACACCAGGCCTATGGAATAGAGATATATAGTAATCTCCATATATGCTTCAGCACAAGCTTTCTTTAAAGATGTCCTTTATAAATATGATATCATGCCTACACATATAATTTACCACTGAGGACAATTAATTGGTTTCTTGTCATTGTTTGTTTGGAGTATGCAAGGATAAAGTTTACAGTATATCTCAGTGCAATTTATGTCTCATTGCATGTGGCAGCCATACCCATTCTCCATAAAATGTATGCATACAGAGTCCACCGATTCTGCAGTTATGCAATGTGAATGACAGGTTGGATTGTACATTCTTCAATTTTTTTTGAATATGGGAAACCACAGTTTGACTACCCTCAGACATCTGAGACATATTAATGAGTGAGCTGTGTCTCTACTTGACAAGCCACTGTGTATTCCTCTATCTTGAATAGTTCCACCTACAACACAATCTACTAATCTAATTTTCTTCTCCTCTTGTCTGCAGCTGTATTAAACTCTTCCTATAGAATTGTGTCCATGATTGCATACTATGACAGCTGCAGAAAAAAGAAGGGGATGGAAAGTGTTTGGTGCTGACTATTGGCATGATCACCATAGTCATATTTAGCAGGAGCTAGAGTTTGTTACCCATTCCCTTAGGGATTGGTTTCTTTTGCCTGTTCTGTGACCCTTCTCCCTACACAATTGTCTAAAACTTCATTATATAGGCTAAATTAGATACTGTTTTGAGTTTATGAGATGATCGCTCTCATATTATGTGATCTTCCAATGACAGGTATATAGGTATATGTAATTCCTTTAGTTATAAGATTTTAATAGCAGGTGGTTAATCAAGGATAAGTATCACCACCTATTCATAGAAAAAGTATTTTCAACATATCCCATATTGTTTCATTTACCAACTGCCATGGCCTATGTTTTATAAATGAGTCATTCCAAATATTTGCATGCATGCACCTATTAAAATGAGATAATCTGGGGCGTGGCCTGAGCATGGCGGCGAGTGGACGCTAATCCACAGAGCTCCGCGGACCTGGGGTGTTTCTATCAGCTGATCTGCTAACTCACGACCCTGCTACCCCATGAAGAGGACGGGTAAGAAGTCCAAGACCCCCCGTTCCTCCACTAAGCCCCGTTCGCAGGCCCGAATGTATGCCTATGTCTCCCCGCGGCTATCTGGGCCTGGTGCGCACGCCCGGACCGGGGAGCTCGATTTGGCCTCGCCGGCGGGGCGCTCCCTGCAGCATCCGCACTCAGACGCGGCCCCTGGGCGGGCTCGGGAGACCATCGCTGAGCCGCCCACATCACCGACCTCCTCCATGTCGGGACGTATGTCCGAGGTGCCCTCTCCATCCCTGGGGCCGCACTCACCCCATCCATGTGCTGTAGGCCTGACCGGAGACACAGGGCTCCATGCTCTACTGGCTGCACTGCCGACAAGAGCTGACATGCAGGAGATGATGGCCCAGCTGGTAGCTACGCTACACACAGACCTGGCGGAGGTGCGTTCTGACGTCCAGAAACATGACCACCGTATATCAGCCCTAGAACTGTCCGACCGCTCCATGGCCGACAGGATGTCCACACTGGAAGCTTCCCTAATGCAACAGAAAGCTCACAGGCTGCAGCTGCAATTGCGCTAAGAGGACTCTGAGAACCGCAACCGCCGCAATAACTTACGGTTGCGGGGGATCCCTGAGGCTACAGGGGGCCCGGACCTCAAGGTGGCCGTTACTGCTATCTTTAATTCCCTCCTGGGAAACCCCGACTGACCCCATTGAGATCGACAGAGTACACCGGACCCTGGGTCCCAGAGAGGCAGCCAACGGAAGGCACAGAGACGTCCTCTGCAGGATAGACTTCTTTGAGATCAAAGAGGAGATCTTACGCCAGGCCTGGCGCCACGGTACGGTCGACTTTGACGGGGCGCAGGTGCTCATCCTGCCGGACGTGTGCCCCCAGACCTTATATCCTGATGGATATGCTACACTCCAAAGGATACCTTATCGCTGGGGATACCCCTTCTCGGTCCTGATTGGAAGGGGCGACCATTTCTTCAGGCTAGTACACCCCCGCCAGGGGCCTGACCTGGCGGTTTTCCTGGATTGCCCGGAACTATCCCTGCCGGACTGGCTGGAGGTAACGCCTTCAGAGACCCCCTCGTCCAACAATGCCAGACCCTCCAGGGTTCCACGACGCCGTAGAAGCCACCCTAGATCGGTCTCGAGGGCATCCCGGAGAGGACACCCCTCTGACCCGGAGAGCTGAGCTATTGGTGGGCTACCACCCTCCAGCATATGTGCCCTTTGATGCCCTCCTCAGACGTAACTGTCCTCCGATGCCTAGACCTCCTATGTAAGTGGTTATGGCCCTGACTGTGGGACGTATCTGGGCGCATGCCTCCTGTTTTTCCGGTTACTGCGGGAGCCTCCTCAACGCCCCTGCGACTCCCTCCTGATCCGGGGGGCATCCATATTTCAAAGTTATATGTATGTGGACAGCTCCTGATGCCAAGTTTTAATTCTGCCGGTACGCTCATTCTCACCCAGCTCCTCCTGGTGGATCTGCTGGATGGGGCGCGAGCCAGCTGAAATGTTTGCACTCATATGTTGCCTGCTTCCGGAGGCAGGTTTGGTGGGTTGAGGCTCTGTGTGTCCATCTGATGGTTGTGCCCCTGTTGGGCACAGATGACATGGCTGAGGTAGGGCCATTGATAGCCAGTGGTATGGGGGAACTTCTCTGGGGGTTTGGGTGGCTGTACTAGTCTGGAGTCGGGCTTAATATAGTAGTTCTCGCTGAGCTGGGGATAGCTTTGGGGACGGTTGAGTTGTTTTGCCCCATAGCACTCCCAGGTCCGCGTCGCTCTATTCTGCTGTGTTCGGTCTCTTCCCCCAAGAGTGGGGTGTTCCCTCTCCGTGTTGGAGACAATCCACGGGAACACCCGTGTTGTGTTTGTGTTGTGTTCCCACTCGAGAGTCAGGAAGGCTCCAACCTTCGAGTGGTTTGTGTCTGCACAAGCTTCCCCCCCCTACTCCCCTCCCTGTGTCCCTTGTGCTTTGGTGTCATTGTCTTGTGTGTGTGTGTCCCGCTTTTCGCCTGGTGGTCTCTGGCCAGGATACCCCCGGGTGCATTGGACTGCGGGCTTGCCGCTAAGTGGTGCAACCGATCATGCCTGAGTTGCGTGTCACCTCCTTTAATGTCTGGGGCCTCCGGATCCCTGAAAAGAGGTCAGGCCTACTGGAAGAGCTGTGGCACTCCAGAACCCAGGCGGCCTTCATACAAGAGACCCATTTTATGGTGGGGCGTATCCCGAAACTGGGGAACCACAGGTACACGACGTCTTATCATGCCCCCTCCCCTGACTCCAAATCTAGAGGGGTGAGCATAGTGATGGCAAAATCCCTGACCTGGACTTATGCAGACCACTATGCCGACCCAGATGGACGGTTGTTGCTGGTTAAGGGGGAGGTACATGGGCGGAAAATGACCTTTGCAGCGATATATGCTCCCAACTCAGGGCAGCTGGCTTTCCTGGAATCTGTGTGGTCCCGCATGTCTTCCTTTGCAGAGGGGGTATGGATACTAGGGGGAGACTTTAACCTGGTGCTCGACCCATCCATGGATTCGTCTGGGGGATTGTCCCAGATCACTCATGCTCAGAGGCGACACATCAAGCGCTCCATGTATGCCCTACAGTTGATCGACCCCTAG